CTACCGCTATCTGGTTCTTTCTATCTGCAGCACAGCACACAGAAGGGCTTTCCTCCGCTCCTTGCTCCCTATTTGGTTTCATAATTTGCTCTCTGCACCTCCATCTTTTGGGATAGCTTCGGACAGATCGTATGTTGTTGCCCTTGCGGGTGCCCAAGCTTTAGGTACACCTAAATCATGTTCTTTTCCTCCTTCGTTTGAGTGGGGGGAGAGCATCAAAAAACTTGATAGGAAGAATGGGAAACCTGTCATCTTTTTTACAGAAACTGAAGGTATTCAACTTGCTTCCTCCTGTCATCTGAATTTGGTCGGAAAATTTATGTATGGTCATCCCAAAATGGAGTTGATTTGTAAAGAATTTAAGTGTATGCATCTTGTTTGGGAGTGAAAAATTGGACATTTAAATGGAATACACTCTTATTCAACTTAATAATGAAGAAGATTACACGCGTTTATTTGATAGAAGAATTGTCTAGATTGATAACAGAGCAATGAAGATTCTGAAATGATCTGTGAATTTTGACCCACAGACGGAACCACCAATAATTCTGGTTTGGATTCACCTCCCTAGTTTGAAATTTCATTATTTCACTCAAAAAATGTTATTCTCTATTGCATCAGCTTATGGTAAGCCATTTAAAACGGACATTCCTACTTTTAATCTTTCTGCCCATCTGAAGTCAGAGTACTTGTTGAAAGAGACATCACTTTATCCGCTTCTGGGGAGATTTGGTTGGGCACACAACACTATGGATATTGGCAAAAGGTAGTGATTGAGCATTTTTCTTCTTATTGTTCGAACTATCGTATGTTCGGTCACTCCAGTTCTCAATGCCACTATTTACACCCCCAACTCAAACCAAAAAAGCAAAGCGCTCTGCCAGAGACAGAGAATCCAGCTCCACCTATTCAGCCTCAAGTTATTGACACTATTGATTATCAAAAGGATACTCCTGAAGATTTCATTATCCTCGCAGGTAATATGTCAACCATTCAGTTTTCACACAATGTTGTTACTCCCCCGTCTTTGAAACCTCCTGTCGTGGGAGCAAGGGAAATTCTTTAGACCCCACCTACTCTAGAACCTATCACTGATATTACAGGTGGCAATACTTCTACTACTTCACTACCGTCTCATCAGATCGAGCAAAATGTTAATGTTACTCAGGCTCATGGGGATCATGATGTGCAACAGCCTACACCTGTCCGACCACCTTTGGAACAATCCATTGATCAGATGAATCAATCCTCGGATGAGGAATGACAAGTCTACACATCCAGGAGGAAGAAGAAGAATGGAGAACTACTTTAGCTTAGGAATCTGATAGACGATACTTTGGTTACTTCGGGTAATGGTATGCACCTTACCAATCTGTTAGTCGGGTCCTTTCCGAGAACTAGAGGCAGAGGAAGGACTAAAGCGGGACGTCCCTAGTACTTTTGCTCCCGTTGGTGGCTTTTTAGTTTTTTATCTTTTTGTATCTTTGCTTTAGTTGGAGTTGTGTTGTATTGTGTAAGTTGAGCCTTTTTTTAGGCCCTCTCATTCAACCTATCTGTATCTTTTCTTCTTTAATATATTAGCCCTTGGGCTTTTCCTAATATATATATTATATATATTATTTCTAACCCTATGGGAACCGATTTTCACTTCTGGAATAGAAACTGCCGCTTTGTTCCCAAGTATGCAGGCACATTGTCGAACCTCGTAAATCTCTTACGATCTTGAATCTTCTTGCGATTTTATTTTAACTTCACTTACTTTGAATAAGAACACTACAAAATGCAAGAAGGCACGCCATGTTGTCAATAATATATCAAAATTGAAAGTTTCAGGTATTTTTTGGCCAAATTAGCATTCATGTATTTTGCACGCCACCTGAACCGTACCAGACATTCAATCACCAACTTTTTGATTTGGGCTGGTTCAGCAACAACGACAGCATTGTTACCCATTGTTAGATTTATCCTTTTTGTTTCTCTCTACCCTTTTCCTCCACATTGAGGTTGGCAATTTTGCTAAAAAGATTGCAATAGTTTTTAGTTAATTTGAAACTGAACCAATATATTTGAGTCATCAGATTGGAATGTGTCTCGAGTCTTTTTTAGTCAGTTTTAATTAACACTAGACCAAAATCTAATTCAAGTTTACTCAGCACACACACACAAAGCATTCCGTGGAATGCCGCCTGAACCAAACCGTCATTCATTCACTAAACTTGTGATTTTTTAGGGATTGATAACGATGAAATCATTGTTAATCGTTGTTAGATTTATCCTTTTTAGTTCTCCCTACCACTTATCCTCTTCACTAAGGCCGGCTATTTGCTCAAAACTTAAGTTTTGAGTCAATCTGAGACCAACTCGACAAGTTTAAAGTCTAGTTTTGAGCACATATATTAACAAGCGATTTTTAGTCAATTTCAAGCTGAACAAAATCAAAATCAAATTCAAGCTCATTCAAAGCATATTATATTAAACTTTTATGCAAAATTGTGCTTTCAAGCTTTGGCAGGCGACTCGACAACTGAATTCTAATATCACTAGCTTACATAAAAAGTTCAAATCTCTCTTCAAGCAACCACACATTATTTTTTTAGTTCTAGATCCAATCATGTAAATTCAAGTTAATTCAAAGTCATTTCAAATTGATTTAGAATCTAAATGCCAGCCTTAATCCTGGTGAGTATAATCCATCCAACAAAATGTCATGACATTATTAGAACCCCTCCATGAAGCCCGCAAGAACAATTTCATTATCTCATTCAATCAGGAATCTCAGCACCTTCTTAGCTTGAAAAATAAGATGGATATTTTTTTTGAATTACATCAATGATTTCTCGATATTTTCTAATACTAAAGTTGATTTCCTATCAATGTTGAAGGAAGGGAAAATAAGTATGCTCAAAAAAAAGTTGAGCTTGTAGAAAATGTTCATATGGGTAGGGGTAGCATAGCAAAAAAGAAAAGCCCAATTGCAATAATAAAATTTCATCAAAATAACTTCAACGCCACTTCATGTGTAAAAATAATTGGACACATACCCCTGACAGATGTTATCACCTCTAGTGTACGTACCAACAAAGAATAGTTAGCATCCACCGGGCACATAATAAACATTATAAAATGGGATATAAAAATATAACTAAAGAAAGAAACTGATGCGTCATCATGCGTGGAAATTAAGGATAATTAATTGCGGTTGATTCAAAAAGGGTGAGATCATAAACAAAAGTGACAATTCATCTAATTATTTCAAGGGGGCTACGTACAAATTACTACAATAGTATCAATGCAACACGACAATAGAAAAAGATATAATTAACCAACTTATGGAGAAATGAAAATAAAAATATGAAACCTGAAAAAGGTTCATGTTCCATCTATCCCGATAGAGAAATTGATAGATGAGGATCTAGCTTACCTCCGAAAGAGGGGAAGAGGGGATTGCCAGCTGACATATCAAAATCCTTGTGTAGTCCTCCGAGGAACAGTACAAGTTTTATAATCTTTAGGGGCATTTACATACACACCACTCAATTCTTATCCATTTACATATCTAATGCCTAAATTTTCCTTTGTTTACATTAATACCACTCAAATCTAACATATCACATAAAAAATACCACCATTTTAACTTTCAAAAAGTGAAGTACACATTTTCATGCATAGATGAGGTGGCATGTATGTAAAAATTGATGTTTAGAAATTGATGTTTAGATGTTAGATATATAAATACATAAAAATTAAGTGGTATGTATGTAAATCATCCTAATCTTTTATATGAGGAAACTTTTCGATCACCTGAGAGACATAATAGAACAAAGGCATGTATCATAAAATGGCAATGTATTTGGATGTTTTAAGAGTGCAGCCAAATTTACATAGAATCTCACGGTGAACATAACAACCCTCTATTGATACAAATAATAAAAAAATATCAACCTAGAGATCATTAGCTTAATCACGCATTATTCCCATTAAAGCTGAATCTTTACATCCTCACCTAGCGAGAAAAAAAAGGAAAGAATTACATACATATCACTCATATCCTATGTATTTTACATATCTGAATCTAACACCTAAACTTCAACTTTTATATGCATGCTACCTTACCTACGCATGAAAAGGTGCATTTCACTTTTTAAAAGTTAAAATACTGATACTTTTGATGTGAGATGAAAGATTTGTGTAATATATATGTAGAAGTAAAGTTTAAGTGTTATGCATGTAAATGTCCAAAAAAAAAAAAAAGACAATAGTGAGTACGAGAAGATCTAAAAATACAAAAGTATACTTAGCAAATATGTGATGTAATAATCAATTTGGCCTACTGTCCTTTCTGAATTCTTTGGGAGCCCATTTCGTTATGCCACATACAGTAACCAATTGACATGGAAGCAAAATCAGCCGGATTGAAAAACAGATCTTGTTTTGATACCATTGAGGAATCGAATTCAGGTTCCATATAAGTTAAAAGACAGTTTTATGATTTTTTCTGCAGATTGAAGTTATGCATGACTATAACTGTAAAACTATAATTGCTACTTGTGATTCAGTATTATAGCTAAAAATATCATTGTCTTGTTTAGGTTGAAAAAATATGCTTCCTATTTTCAGGCTTATTTCTTTCAGTCATGAAAAAGAAAATATTTAGACATCAGCAAAATCAGATATCAAAGTTTAAAACTGTTGTGTGACAACAATCTTTAGACTACAATCTATGGATGTGAGAGAGCCAAAAAGTAATATTTATTATATAGCTAACATCACACGATGAATGTTTGTGAAAACGACAGAAACCATCTTATTCAATTTTCCAATCTAAAACATTTCTGTTCTCTCAGAATGCGTAAAATGTCAGAAACGTTGTTTCAACATTTCAAGCAATGAACTCTCTGGACGCCCTGGTTTCAAATATAATAATAAAATTATTATTATTATAATAATAATTATTATTATTATTATTATTATTATTACATGCAAAGAAATTCGTGGTGATTTGTTACTAGCTATACACAAAGATCTTACACAAATAAATAAATAGCGATTGCAAGAGACCAATGTTTTTTTACATGAAATACCCAAAAAGAGAAAAATCATAGGGCTCAGCAGGGTTGAAATTATTCCACTATATAAGCATAAACTATAAAAATATTACATGCCTTCTACATAATAGAAGGATGATCTTAGATTGTTGGTTGAACTTCCTATGAGAGTGGTGAAAAATATTGGTGAAGTGGTCAACAATGAGAGGAGATAAGATGGTTGTGGTTAAATGATGGTGGTTTGACAGCATGTGGGTGGTAACAGTAACTATTGGATGATGGTGGTTATTCTGAACACCTTGATGTTCTTAGGATTAGCTTTGACCATATAATGGGTAGCCATGAACTTGAAAATGTTGTATGATATGACCACAAAGGTGCATTTGTTCAGATTGTGTGGCATATTATAACTTCGAAAGAGATGAAAATATTGTTCTGGGTCGAAGATATGTTGAAATTTAGTATGTGAGGTTGGCAACATTTGGAGGTGGATAACTGATGAAATCAACTATCGGACAACATATTTGAGCTGTCCGGCGGCAGTCCCTGCTGTAAATAGTGAAGCGGACAACGAAACAGCATGGTACGGTGGTTAAGGAGAGTCACTGCAAATAGAAGATGCCCTAATTAGAAATAAATAGCAGAAAAGAATAAAAAAAGGAAGAGTAATTCGCTGAAATAAAAAATATAGGCAGTTCAACACAACCAAGGAATTGCATAATTTTCGTGTCCCTAGGATGAATAATAGAAATAAATAGCAGAAAAGAATAAAAAAAGGAAGAATAATTCGCTGAAATAAAAAATATAGGCGGTTCAACACAACCAAAGAATTGCATAATTTTCGTGTCCCTAAGATGAATAACATCCTGCATTATTCTCCCCAAGTAGGAGAGGTTTCGCCCTCATCTCTAAAGGACCTAGAACCCATCATCTGATGTTCATTCCCACAAAACATCTATAAAAATTTTCACAACTGCGATTCAGCACTCATGTCTAGTCATCTGTCTGTGGGTGCAACGCTAACCTGAACTGGAACATAGTATGTAATTCCTTCAGTAGAACCTTCCAAAAATCACTCAAAGTTTTCTCATTTCTATCTAAAATGATGACATGTTGGACCTCCCTAAATAGTGATAACCTATGAGGTATGGTATAGGTCAAACAATCTTGAAATCCACTTAGCTAGGGTTGGCATGTGTCAGGTATCAGCTCATTGGACTCATTGTCATCTAGGAGAACCAATACTTCTCTTGGTGGTGCTTCTCTCACAGGCTCAGAAGGACCCTTCGGATTACTAACATCTCTCTCTTATTAGCTGAAGGATGATATTCCTCTTTTTCATCCTCACCTTCTTCAGTGGCTCCTACGTCACTATATATATTTTTTCACTGCTCCTTGCTCCTTTAATGAGATCATTTTCTTGTTTCGACAATCTAGTAATGTGCCCAAAGTTGTCGCACTTGAAACATTTATTGGTTAGGACGGATTTGGGATTGTCGATGAGTCTTCTTTTTATCCACTCTGAATTGATTTTTTCTCAGTGGGATCATCTTGGATGCTCCACTAGATGTATTATTGTTGCCCGATCCTGAGGTTGAACTTTTTTTGAAATGTGTGATGGTTATCTGGTACAATTATTATTTTTCCACCTTCAAAGCTAGAGTTTATACGTCGAGTAAGGACCAATAACACTACAGCTACACGACCGCACACATTACAATATATGACTTCAGTCCTCCAAAATACATAGCTATTGTATACTCTTCTAATTCCATCAACTCACATTGCAGCATAAGTTGATCAAAGTTAGTTGTGTGCTCCTCCATAGAAGAGTCTCCCTAGTGTATGTTATGGAATTTTATGAATGTGTCCCATCAGTAATATGGAGGAAGGTATTTGTGTTGCATCTTCCTTTCATTTTAGACTAAGTAGTAATTTTATTCTAACATTTTTGTTGTCGCATACGCTTCAGATTCTCCACCCAAAAGGAAATGTTCTTCCTTAATTGAATAGAAGTTAGCTTGACCCTTCTATCAGGTGGAAAATCCTTGCACTCAAATATCCGTTCCATTGTTTGGAGTCACTCGATGAACTAGTCAGAATCCAGAGACTCAAATTTGACAAGTCAATCTTCACTCTAATACCCTATATTTTTTTGTGATATTTCATGTCAAATCATTGGAGTATTGATTATTCATCACCATAAACTTTTTGATGGAAGAGTTTCACTCCCTCTTCTCGATCTGACGAGTTACCATTATAATTATGGGTGATCCTATCGAGTTGTCTTCTCTCAAAGGCAGTAAACATATATTGCAGTGGAAGGATTTACCGCTTAATATCCTCCATGATAAATTCATGGAACTATCTTTGAGTGTTTCTCCTATGTGGCATTATGTCCTTTTCTCCCAATCAGGGTTTCAGCGCATGTAGGAATGCAAATGAAAGTCAGGGCCAAAAGCTTAGATTTTGGTGATGATGTCAAGGCAAATTTTTGGTGGAGTAGGAAGGTCGGATTTTAAAAATTTAGGGTTAAGACCACAAATTGCGTTAGGAATGGTTACTTATCGGTATGAATATTACTAGGGTTAAGACCACAAATTGCGTTAGGAATGGTTATTTATCGGTATGAATATTACTTTTTTTTTTAATTTTAAATTTTGGGTAAGAAAGAAAAAATCTAAAAACCTAAGATTTATCATACCAGATGACACCGTTCTAGGGCTTCTATAAGGTATTTAGGAAGCGGATTTAGAGTGGAGGTGGTTATGGAATAGCAAATGAATGATATTGGACAACACATTTGAGTTGTTTGACAGCTATCCCTGTTGAAAACAATAGGACGAAGGGCAAAACAGTGTGGCACGGAGGTCGAGGAGATTCACCATTTATTCCTGCACATACTGCAGACGTACCACTTGCAAAAGAAAAATGATAAAACACTCGTTAGATTAGAAACCAGAGATATGATCTCTAAAACCATAAACAAATCTCAAAAATCAACCTAAAACAGAAAACAAAACATATAAATAGTCTCCCAATAAAAAATAACCTAATTAGGAATAAGGAAATAGGAAATAATAAAAAAGAAAATAAGAAATTTGTTGGAATAAGAAAAAATGGGCGGTTTGACGCTCTAGCGATCGCCGTGCGATTTCCGCATCCCCGAGATGAGCAGCGTCCCACTTCAATTTTATTAACATATTCTTCTATGGTGTCCCTATGAGAGCTTTAAGAATTTTGTTCACGAAGTTACACCATTTCACCTGAAAGCGTCACTTAATAACAATATAAACCATTATCAATTTAGAAAGAATAGCCTCTTCAGCCACCAAGTTCATCTTTATTTGATTGTAGTCAAAGTAAGCATCTAGCATTCAAATGTGGCATCAATAAGTTGATCCCTACGAAGAGAACTATCTTTTGGCAGGCTTTGGTAAGGCCAACATATCGACGCACATTCTCCAAATCCTACCAGCCTTATTGATCAAAACGGCATTGGCCGACTAAGCAAGGTGATGCACTTAACGTATGAATCTGATTTCCAAGAATTTATTGACTACTTGTTCAATTATCTACACAGCTTGTAGCAAAGGGATGCTTCTTTTGGTTGATTGGCTTAAATGTTAAATCAATATAGAGGGAATGTATAATTATTTTAGGATCAACTCTAAACATATCTACGAGACTAATTAAAAAAAATATATCATGATTCTCATGCAAAAAGTTTGTATATTCTGATTATTGTGCATCAGAAAGAGAAAAATCAACTTTTACCAACTGTGGAGTATATTCATTCGATAATAAGATATGAATCAAGTTTTCCTTAAGAGAAGCCTTCTGAGATGTCTTCATCCCAAAGGAATAAGATTTTGATGCTGGGGTTACTCAGGGCAAGGTTGAGCTGCATGGAACAGATTGGTAGAACTAGCGATGGCAAGGGAGTTGACATCATGTTGTGGCAAAAGGAGAATTTCCGCTTGATGGATAGGACGACCCACACGACTGTTCTAAAGCTAGGTAACCTCAATTGGCGTTCAAACCTAACTGAGTGGCCCCCTTCATTTCAAATTGGTCTTAGTTGTCAAGCACCCTTTAGAAGTTGAAGGATATTTTTTAAAGATTCTTCCATCCTGCTGATGCAAGCTTCGCACTTTCCAGAAATGAAAGAAGCAGAAGTTTGACGCCTTACTTCAAAGATTGTTCCATGGAAATAAATGATGGATATTGGAGTGGGAAGCTCTTTTGTTGTGAATATATCAATTGGCCATTGCATGAGTGATTCCGGAGCTCGCAAAAGTGGTACCATTTTTCACAAATGACATCAAACTGTTTTATATAGAAAAAATTCACGATATTTAAGTAAAAAAAAAAACTTTGCCTTTTAGATTTGCACAAAAATCACAAATACAAACAAATTGAAAAAATCACAAGAGATGCAAATATGTGTGTGTGTGTGTGTGAGAGAGAAAAACCTGAAAAGAAAAAAATTATGAAGCATGGTCCAATTAAAATAATTTCATTGTATAAACGTAATGTTGAGAATTTTAGGGCAAAGAAAACGCAAGAATCGATGCAAATCCAGAAAGAAACACAGAGATTTAACAAATGTTCGGTAAAGATGTCTACGTCCTCGGGAGCAGAGCGGCAGCTTTTCCTTTTCAATTCTGAAAAAGAGTACAATATTCTCTTAGGATTACAATACATCATATATATGACATACAATATGTAATTACAAAATTACCCTTGTACCGTACCGCGGGACGTTGCCCCCGCACCCCCAGCCAACATAACAAAACTCCCCCAATTAGGCAAATGTTTCCGCGTCGCTGACTCACTCCGTTCTGCACCAGCATCTGTCTCTTATCTGGTATATGAGTCATATCTAACAAATCCCCACCTTAGCAAATATTCAACCCTTTAGGAGAAAGATACTTGGGAGTTTCTCAAATAACAAAGTTGGTTGGGCCACCATGCTTGTCTAGCAACTGTAAATATTCAACAAGTTCAAGCAATACAATAACTTGTTGATATTAACTGACTTGGTGAACATATCAGTTGCATTCTCATTAGTATGAACCTTATGCAACATAATCTCACCAGAAGCAATTAATTCTCTGATCTTGTGACACCTGACATCAATATGTTTAGTTCTCGCATGATACACCTTATTTTTAGCCAAATAAATAGCACTTTGACTATCACAATGCAACTGAACTCCATATTACTCGACACCTAGTTCTTTTACTAGCCCAGTAAGTCATAATGCTTCTTTAGCAGCTTCAGCTACTGTCATGTACTCAGTTTCAGTTATGGATAATCCCACAATAAATTGAACTATTGATTTTCAACATATCGACCCTCCACCAAGAGTAAACACATATCCAATTGTAGACCTTCAGTCATTCAAATCACCTGCATAGTTTGAATTCATGTACCCCACAACTGAAGGATCATTCTGCTGATTGCCAAAAATAATTTCATGTCATACAGTACCCTCAGATACCTGAAAATCCACTTGACTGTTTCCCAATGTCGAATTCCAGAGCAGACTTGACTAACAGCATGAGCCAAATCAGGGCAAAGCGAGTTCACATCATTGCATACATCAAACAGCCAACCGCACTGGCATATGGAACCTTATCATGTCTTCAGGACACTATTCTAAGGAAAGCTTAAAATGATTTGTCAATATAGTGCTCACAGGCTTTGTTTTGCTCCTCTCAAACTTGTCTAGCACTTTCTCAACATAGTCTCGTTGAGATAAACATAATCGTCTTGAGTCTCTATCTAGATGAATCTCCATTCCAAGAATCTTTTTTGTAGGACTCAAATCTTTCATGTCAAATTTCTGTCTCAGTAAAACTTGTATCCTTTGACATCTTATTGTAGCCCAAGAAGATGTACTTCTTGGATTTTGGATCAAGTTTTGATCTTTCATCTTCAGGTACATGCACATAAGCAGGACAACCAAAAATTCGTAAGATAACATGACAAACTCACAGTCTCTGCCCAGAAGCTTTTAAGAAACTCTGCATTTAGTCTCAAACATCTTGCCCTTTCAGTTAAGGACTTGTTCATCCTTTCTGCAACGTCATTCTGTTGTAGTGTCTTTCGCACTAAAAAAAGTCTCTAAATCTCATACTCACAAAATTTCTAAAACTACGAATTTATATACTCTATCATTATCAGACCTCAAATACTTGATATTTCTGGCAATTTGGTTCTCAACCTCAGTTTTCCACAACTTAAATTTAGAGAAAACTTCATATTTCTGCTTCAAGAAATACACCCAAACTTTCATGGAGAAATCATCAATAAAGGTAACAAAATACAGAAATCCTCCTAATGACGATTCTCTGGTAGAGGTCCATACATCAGAGTGCACATAATTAAGAATCTCTTCAGTTTTATGTTTCTAGTCATGAAATTGATTCTAGTCTGTTTTCCAAGAAAACAAAACTTACAAAAATCGAGCTTGCAAATTTTAACACCATGCAACAAATTTTTTTATGCAATTCAGTCATCCCACGTTCACTGAGATGACCCAAACGCATATGTCACAGTTTTGTATTATTAATCATCTGACTCAACTGAATGAATTTCATCTACAACTGTACTCCCCAACAGTCTGTAGATATTACCTGCATTTAATGTTCCTTTCATCACAATCAATGCACTCTTAATAATTATGATAATTTTTCTATCATCATCTGCTTTAGGAATAAATCATTTCTATGTAAAGTGCACAAGGAAATCAAATTCTTCTTTAAATCTAAAATATGTCTGACATCACATAATCTTCTAACAGTGTCATCATACATCTTAATCATGATATCACCAATACCACCAATATTACAACATATATCATCACCTAAATAGACAGAGTTAAAATTAGATAATTTGTATTAAGTAAATCACTCTCTGTTTATGTGATAAGAGCATCTTGAATCGAGAATTCATGCATCCAGGAACTGAGTTAATTAATCTGAAAGCATATCACCATCACTGCAATCTAAATTGTCACTCTGCACCACATTTACAAACTTGGATGATGCATCACGTTTCTCTTCAATTTGCTTCTTGAGCTTGGGACAATCTCTCTTCATATGACCAGGCTCCTTGCACTTTTAGCAATGAATCATCTTCTTGTCTTTAGACTTTTATCTGGAATTTCGTCTTCCAGAACACTCATTCTATTTCTTCCTTTTACGATCCTGATTACCCTTAATATATAAATTATCACCATGAGAATTTTCCCCTGCATTCTGCTTCCACTGATTGTGAGCCAACAATGCTACAGTAATATCATCAACTTTGATTGTTTCTTTCTCATATATAAGAGTAGTCACTAGGTGTTCGTAAAAGGAAGACAATGAACACAACAAAATCATTGATCGATCTTAATCCTCAATACTTATATCAAGTCGTGATAAATCTGTGATTATTTGATTAAAGGCATTCACATGCTGCACCAGATCAGAATCTTCTTGCATCTTCAACCCATATAGTTTTTTCTTCAAATATAATTTATTTGTTAGAAATTTGGACATAAACTATGTTTCCAATTTCTTTCATACCTCTTCTGAAGATTTTAGATTCATTACATTATACATAACCTAATCTGTCAGACATAAACGTATGTTTGATGTCACTCGTTGTTTCAATTTTCCACAATTTTCATCATTCATGGTATATGGTTTTTTTGTCCGCAAAGCCTTCAAGATTCATTGTTGTGCCAACAAATCTTTCACCCTTATTTGTCACAATCTAAAGTTTTCGGTTCCATCAAACTTCACCACTTTGAATTTGCACCAGAAATTGTCATTTGAAATTAGTCATGCCGCAAACTTTTCCTGTGAATTCCTCTGACACAGTTGTTGAATTGCTCACCCAAATTCCTTCGTACAAAATCCTTCACCGAAAAGCTCCTTCCCGAACTGATCCTCTTGCATAACCGTCATGCGATCTTCAATCTATTGCGGAAGAAGCCCACATAGAATGCCGCGAACCCGCGCCACACCCTCGTCGTGTCTTCTTCGTCCTTCGTGTGCCAAACTCTTATGTCCTAAAATATCGCTCTGATACCACTTGTTAAGAATGTTAAGGCAAAGAAAAAGCAAGAATTGATTCAAATTCATAAAGAAACACAGATTTAACGAGGTTCGGCAAAGATGACTATGTCTTCGAGAGCAGAGCGCGGGTTTTCCTTTCAATTCTGAAAAAGAGTACAAGATCCTCTTAGGGTTTCATATTGATGGATATGCACATCATTAAACTAATGTTCAGAACAAAATTTTAAAAACTATTTTACCCCGTTGACAGCATTCGGTTCCGCAGTGTCTGCGACCTTCGAGACTGCAATCTGTCAGCTACAATATAGCATTCCTACAAGCGTAAAGCCAAAGCGACGCAACATCGTTGCTAGTGTTCCAGGAAATGAGAGACCTCAGCACCCGCAATGCCCTCTCATACGATAAGCAGGCCTGCAAAATTCTCCTTCAAAAAGAGGAAAAGTTTTTATTAGTGCTCCAACTAGTTAGGTATATAATTAGAAACGCCTTCCTTGTTCAAAATAAACAAAGAATGAAGCGGGAGCATTGTACCTGCGAGAGAATGCGCTCTTCGGGGGATTATACCGGCATGAGAGAGTAACAAGAAAAGGTCCGGCGACAGCTTCGTTGCCTCCGGCAAGCTCCAGCAGGCAAGTAGAGGAATACAATAAGAGGTGGGGGAGAAAGGATATTAGGGTTTTCGAAAGGTGTGCTCTCGCGAGAGCTAGAAAGCAAACGAGGAAATAGAATCAGGCGAAGATGACGGAGTGGAAGCAGTGGGGTGGAGGTAAGCATGCTCGTTCCTAAGCATTCTGCAGTTCATCTAGCCGCCAGTTTTCTGTCGAATTCACGTACGCAAATATTTCCCTGGATTTAGGGTGTGTTTGCGCTATTTGCGTGTTTCTAAATAAATGGAAAGTTTTTTTTTTATTGTAATATTTTTTATAATAGATTTGTTCATAACAGTACATTTTTATATTTGAAAATAAATTTTCAGTTTCAACATTACAAATAAAAATAAACATCTATATTACGATTATTAAATTTAAAAAAAATAACTACTAAAATAACAATTAATAATATGATAATATATTTTAAAAATGCAGCTAATGTATGTCACATGATAAGTCATCCTCTTAAAAAATTGTATATGCACGATCACTCTTAGCGATAAAATCCTCCAACTCATCTGTCCATCTAAAGAAATTACAGTTTTATGTTCTTCTCCTTGGACACCTATAAAAAGTTTCTCCTGTAGTTATGTGGTTTTCGTGAAGTAAGTAGGGAACTTTGTAGTCGGCACTAGCAGTACAATGCTCTGGAGGTAACGAAAATCTCCGAGCTCATCATTCTTGGAAGCTTAAAAACACAAAGCACATAACCTTATATGTAACATTAGCAAAAAATTAATAATATAAGTAATCAATTAAAGTTTTATGCAACTGTGAAGTCTCAAAGGAAACAACATATAAGTCAACGAATCTGTCACTACAAGAAGACAAAAAACCTTTTAAAAAAATGTTCTTGATTATCTTTAACCCACATAATACCGAGCTTGTGTGTTTCATGGATGCATATCACCAAAAAAAATGTCGTCTAGAAGAATCTTAAAAACCATAGCACTAAAAAGGGAGATGAACCTAGTTGACTTCATTGGGATTTTAGACGTGACAATAGCCAATAGCGACATATATGACATTCAAAATAACTCTTAAGGTTGAATGTCTTATCATAGACCTCCAAAACAAAACAAAAAAACATGCAATATTTAGATTATGTTTATTGCTCACAGTTCATCGCTCATCCAAGTGGAAAAGAATACATACATAAGGAAAAGAAATATACATGATTTGCATAATATTGATAAAATAAACATTAAATGCATAAGAAAAGAAAATATACACGGCTTGTATAAAATACTGATACAATAAACAGTAAATGTTTTCAACACACACTACAAATAAAATAACAACAGAAGTAGATGTTCTCTCCATTCAACCTCCAACTATAACATCTGTAATCTGTTTTTCAATTCTACCACCTCACTTGCACCTTCCCTATCTTGAGTGCAAGCCTTAGACATATCAATTTCGGCCTGTGACAAAGATTGTCCAAGAAGATATTCATATGCATTAGGATGAACATTTGAATGATATTCTTTAGCTCTATTAAAATCAATGACGTTGAGAGAAAGATGTCGTCAAATATAGTTGTGGAGAGTCATCACAGAGAGCACAATCTACACTTGTTTAGAAAATGGATATGTAGGCATATCGCGCAGTCTAACCCATTTTTTCTTCCAAACTACAAATGTCCTTTCAATGACACTGAGTAAGGAGTGTCTCTTGTTGAACATTTTCTCCTGCCCCGAGTGATATTACTGACTCTCTCAAAGTCAGGTATGTGATATTTGGTATCAAAATAGGGTTTTAGATACCCTCTTTGTAACGGATATCCAATAATGACCAAATAAGATTTACCTGACAATAATACAATGAGTAGTTTGTCGAAGAACAATATCTGACTAGTTCAGTCTCAAGCAACCCTGAAGGTAGATGAGGAAAGTATTTAAGTTCACATAATATTTATCATATCACTACCCAAGCCCGTGGATCCTCTTTCCATGTTTTCTAATCTTTTTTAGTTCATTTCATTTTTTTTAATTATGTCATGTCGTACTCCCTGCCTGCACTTTCTTTGAACCTTTTTAATAATATTATGTCTATTCCGAATTTGACCTCCTTGAGGCAAAGATTGCAGAATATTATTTTCGTATCTTTATCCTACATAGCATATGAACCGGCTTCTTTTGTCTTAATCATTGTATTACTAGCATAAAAAAAACTAATCAACATAAATATTTGTCATAAGAAAATGTTTACCACAATTCAAAGAAAAATAGTAATATTATAATAACATCACAGTTGTTTAGACAGCAATCTGCATACCACCTCCATACCACACCACTACACCATCTCTGCATCCACACACATCCGCCTCCACTACCACCACCTCCATACACCAACTTATACACACCACCACTACATCCGCCTCCACTACCACCACCTCCACACACTAACACATTCACACCACCAATGCCACCACCTTCAAGCACCAACACCTCAACACACTAACATTTCAACTTACCAACACATCCACACTACTACTACCACTACCTCCATGCACCAACACCTCAACACACCAACATTTCAACACACCAACACATCCATGCCACCACTACCACCACCTCCACACACTAACACATTCACACCACCAATACCACCACCTCCACGCACCAACACCTCAACACACCAACACATCCACAACACCACTATCACCACCTCCACAAACCAACACATCCACAACACCACTACAACCACCTCTATACAACAACACTTGACTCATATGCGCTCAAATTAGTCATTTGTATATCCAAATTATTGCACCTGTAATCACCACCACCATCAATGTTCAACCAACAAGATCAACAGAATAAAGTGAACAAAAATCAAATCCATCATAAGCATAAAGAACCTAAATCATGATTCGAGCATATCACGGAGAATCTAAAAAAATCACACAATCCAACGTAAATCGAAAACTATTAAAGGATAAGAGCACAAAAAATCTAGGAAAAACATTACACATAAGTGTTTGCAAAATAAAAAACCATCGCATAATTGAGGTAGAGAATATTATAACAGAGCGAGAGGAAGAGGAACCACAGCACAAAGGATAGAGCTAATGTTCCAAACTGAGTCGAAGAACAGAGAAGAGAGAGAGAGGAAGAATGAAAAACTCGCCGCAACAACCGTTAGAAAGTTAGGGCAAGAATCACGAGAGGGGGAGCCCCGTAAGAATCGCAAGAGAAGCAGGAGAGTAGAGAATCGCGAGAGTTTTAGCGGGGTAGCCCCGTTAACTATTAGCCGAAGAACGTTGGCCATGAGGCCTGTGTTTCCTCCAAATTATCCGATTAAGCAGACATACCGCTTTTATCAAACACACGTCCAACAACCTCGGGTCGCAACACAAGCATTAAGCCACCCCACACAGGGCCTTAACTTTAAATTTAACCAAATATGCGAAAAGTAAAAATTGAATTTAATGCTCTTTTAAATTGAATTTTCTTGTGCTCCCTCACTTTTCTGACATAAATCAGATTTAATAAATTTGATTACGATACAGATTTATTTTAGTCGCCGCTCGCGTGTTTTTCTACCGCACCCTAATTTTCTTGAACCCGAATTTAATAAATTTTAGTTAAAGTAAATCTAAATTACAGCCAAACGCCGGATTAGGGTTTATTAACAAAAGTTATTAAATTCATAAAATCTTTTTAAATTTTTAATTAAAATTAAATATATACATGTGCATATCATTTATGTAGATATATGTATCTAATATCTAAATTTTAATATTTACTTGTATAACAACTAAATAGTTAATATCACATCAAAATATATTGCTAATTTTAATTTTTAAATAAAAAAAATATTTTTAATGGTATTTTTTATCTAATCATGATATTAAAATATTATAAAAATGAATGCCAATATTTTTGTGCAAACTACGTATGAATACCTCATAATTGTGTGATATATGTGCACCCCACTTAAGAATATCATTCATATAAAAGCATTTAATTTTTATTTATCAATGTGTATTATTAACTATATTATATTTTAAAAGAACAAAATGTTGTAACCTAATCATTACAAAACTTGAATTAAGAGTTTGTATTTGGTAAAGTTTCAAATACTATTACAATGTTTGTGTTCAAGTGTATGATGGCGTTAATCTGACACAATAAGATAGCCCAAATATTATGTGTACATAAATTTAGAGGTGGCAAATCGGGTTCATGTGCCAGGTTTGAGTATGACTCAAATTTGACCTGAGTCGAAACTGCTAGACTCAAACCAGTCTCGAATATTAAATGGTTTAGCAAGTCTAACCTAAACACGACCCATCTTCAACTTGACTTGTCTGAATTTAACATTCATAATCTATTTAATATATACATAATAGTTGTTTGGGTCAAATTTGGATTAATTTCGAGTAAATTTGGGTCAAAATATGTTTGGTGCATCAGATTCATGTCAAATTTGGCTATCGGGTCAGCTTTGAGTCAATTTCGGATTGACGAATCAATCAAAGCTAACTCAAAAGATTAATTGTGTCGGGATTTTAAACTCGAACCCGACCAGAAAATAAATCAAATAAATCGAACTCGGACTTTACAAGCCGCGTTCGAATTGAATTTACGTGTCAAGTTAATTTTTTATACCCTTGCATAAACCTATATATGGTTACGTTGTCTAACAAGTGAAAGACTTTGAATATATCACTTCAGCACAAGTCGAAGGTCTCCCAAAAATTTCCCAATAATTGTTTTTTTTTTTAGATATGAAATTTTAGTATAGAAATGGAAAATATATTGCGCATGAAATTAGAAATATTTATATGGCAAGTAAATTGTATGAGTATTTTTGTATGGATAATTAAAGAAAAGGTATTGGCTTAAATACAACAACAACAAGTCTTTATACCACTAAGTAGGGTCATCTGCATGAATCATTTTTCTCCATTGTGTCATGTTAAGCGTCACGTTTTATTTAATTCTAATAGAATAAGATCATCTTTTATACAATTTGACCAACTCTTTTTAGGTCTACCACTTAACACAAATCAAATTAACATCTACTCTCCCAATCAAATTATTAGATAATCGACGTCTAATGTAACCAAATCATCTAAGATGACTCTCTCAAATTTTGTCTGACATTGGAGCTACACCAACCCTTTCACGGATAGATTCGTTTCACATTTTGTCTCTATGTGTCAAGCCACTCATCAACCCAAGCATTCTCATCTTAGCA